TTTTTGGCGCCGGCGCCTGTGCGGGCGCCAGGGGTTTCGTGCCGAGCGGATGTGATATTCATGTTCAGGAGGTCAAACTACCCCAGGGAACAAATTTTCAGCCAATTCTGCCGCGCAGAAAAAGTCGGTCAAAAACTGGCCTGTTTTCGGAAGATTGGGGCAGTAAAGGGTAATAGTGCCAAATTTCTATCAAGGCCAACCCTGATACATCAGACGATGTGCATAACACGCAGGGAACGGGAAAATGGACAACCAACAACTTGAATTTCTCCAACGAGGCTACATCTTAAATGAAACTATTTCTTTCTGGATACAACTTCCGTATTTTCTTTTCGAAACCACTTGCAATGTTGAGAGAACCTGTTTCAGGCGCTAGTCTGGCAAAATTCTATCACAAACGTTGGCGTCAACTGAAATACAACTTCAGCAAACGGCTGAAACGTATGCGTCATGCAGTATAGGTTCACTTTTGACCAGACAATCGTCACTCACTTTTTATTGTTGCGTCGCTAGGTGATTATCTCGTCCTCACATCACAGCCTTTTTTTAGCCGTCTCTTTCCCATCAGGGCTGCTTTCTATGTATTATTGATTTCTAAACTGGTTTCAATTATTTTCGAGGTGTCATTCCCATTTTAGTAAAAATAATTAATTACACTTACATGACAAGATGGTCATTACAATCGATTTCGAAACTGCAGGTGGGGCGAGGGTTGGGCCAGCTGTCCATACCAAAATGGCGAGCCCTTTTGCATTTTTTCGCCTGCTGCGGAGTCCGAGGCAAAGGTAGGTTAGACATCTGACTTATTTCGGAAATCGGAACAAAGCGAGACTCCGTAGCAGCATCCAAGTCCATTAGGAAGCCCACTACAGGGAGCAACTACGGTGCATCTGACCTGTCTTGTGTTTGAGAGCTCGAGTCTGCTTTTTTCTCCACCATGGTCATAATTAGGCCGCGTTCATACTTCGTGACTCGAGCGTTGCTTGGGAATCGCAATGGTGACCGACCATATTCCACTGGTCCAAGGGCTAGCGGTGAAGCGCGGTCGGTCGCAATCGCTTTTTTCAGAAGTCGACTGAGTCGCTCCATTTATGAGGGAGTAAAACATGATCTGTAAGCGGCGTTACGTTCCGATTTCCGGTTCTTCCTGTTCTCACAGTTCTCGTCGTAAGAAGCTGGTTGGGTAAGCCATTCTGGGTAGTTTCGATTTCCGATACTGTCAGAAAACTACCCTAAGAATGGCGCACGTTTATAGTCACCCCGGAACCTCGTCTATAGCCTTACGCCTATGTTAACATGAACAATCGGTAGTAATGACACACTTCCTGTTTCTTCAAGCCCAGTATTAATCGGCATTTGCAAGTACTGTAATCAGGTATCTGTCGCTTACTATTTATCTGCTTTATCCTTACAATTCCTTTAATTATTTTCAAGGTGAACTCAGTGAACTCGTTGTCTTTTACTTACATTCTTTTCAATTTTGTTGCATTTTAATTTGTTTCCGCTCTTTCCTCGATGTCATTTTAACCATCACTATCTATCCTTATCATCTTGTTCCCAAGTAGGCCTCTCAAAGCCATTTGCTTTATCGTTGTCGCTTTGAATCCGTCCCGCGTCCGCGTGACGGTATGTGTGCATTCCTTGTATATAAATTGAATACTTGTCATTTTATCAGCAATATCTATTCATTAACTCTTATTGTATTATCAATACCGTTGTAGGTGTTTGTGTGTGAGTGTATGTCACGGCACTGTCGCACTTTCTGACCTTGACTTCCTCATTTGCTGCCCTAACTGTCATTGGCTTTAAGACACCTCATTATACTTTTTCTTTCTCGCTTACTCGTTTTAATCTCTTATGTGTTCACCCTCATCGTCGCCATTCACACTTATTTCACCCCATTTTAAAAATCGATATTCGGTGCATTACGCGTGTGGGGGTTTGCTGTATTTTGTGAACTCAGTTGTTTCTTATTGAAGTCGATAAAGAATGTTCGTAGCTCTACCAAGCAAGGGATTTATTTCTGGCCATACTAGCAATATGAAGGGTGGTAGGGTGTGTGGAAACGGCGAGGTGGACCATACCTTCGCCGTATGCGCCATGCATGCGGCTTGTAATCGAGTTTAAAAATGTTTGGGCCAGGAACATAATGTTTTACTCCCAAAATGGACCATAATGGCGGCAAAACAGTCCCAAAAAACGGTCGGCTCCTGCGAGTGAGATCCGGCGCCCCATAATATTTGAGATACCTTCACTCGAGATCAGCAACACCGGGAATGTACGGCTAGAAATCTACGTAGTTGGATCAGCCTAGTCCTAAGTGTTCCGTCGAAAGTGGAACGCGCACGAGAGATGCCTTCCAAGCTAAAGGGGGGTGGGGGGATGCGGCCTTACACGAACGGCTGTTGCAAGCACTATCGCGTGTGTGGCTTTCGCCGTAGGGTCTAACTTGTTTCACGGGGT